GAGCCAGCCACCGTTAGGTGTTCTCTCTGTAGCCTTCTGGAGATAGTCTGTGATCACGTATGCATTGGTGGGTGTATTTTGCGCATGTATATTATATATGTATATTATATATATCCATAGTAAGTAGCAGAGCCAGGGATTTAAACCCTAGCAGTGCAACTCCTGAGACAGTGCTCTTAACTATCACATTAAAATGTGATCATTAGGCTACCAGCTTCACTATCTGAAACTTGATATGAATTGATAAAATGTCTGGTGTACCTTTGCTCTGTAAACTTTCACCCCAATTACAATTAAAAAAAAAAAAAAAAAAGTCTGGTACACCTTTGAGGTTCCTTCCAAGCCTGAGTTTTTAATGATCCCAGTAATCTAAGCCTTTCTGTTCAATCATGAAATCTTAGAAACGTAGAAATCTTCCCAGTGGTTCTTACAAGTTGAGTTTGAACTGCTGACTTACCGGTTAGCAGTCAAGTGCCTTATCCACTACGCCACCAGAGCTCCTGCTTACAAGGTTGTTGTTGTTGTTATGTACCGTCGAGTAGGATCCGACTCATAGTGACCCCTCCTTAGGTTTCCGAGGCAGTATCACTATGGAAGTAGATTGCCCAACCTTCCTTCCAAGGAGTGGCTGGTGGGTTTACACCGCCGGCCTTCTGGTTAGCAGTCAAGGTAGTGAATGCAATTTAAATTTTGGTTTATGGCTCAGGCTGCCTCACACGTAGACAGCAGTTACTGTGCTCTAACCCTAATGGTCTAGATTGTTGGACCTTTGAGTTCTTGTGACTCCTCTTCCAGTTTGCAGAGCCTTTCCTTCTGACCGGGCCTTCTGCTCTCACGGCTTACTGCGGTCTCGTTGCTGGTGGTGTATCTGTCTCGAATACTGTCTCCTTTTCTCTGACTGCTACCAATTGGGTGAAAAACCCAGGCATCCAGAATTGAATCTTCACGTGCTGAGTTAGGGCCCTGAGTGCTTTCCTGTGATTAGTTAGGTTGCTTGGACTCTGTGATGCACATTATAGCGACTCGGGCCTGTTTCTGCCTCTGTCTGGTTGACGTGACGTGGCAGAGAGCGGAGGCCAGTGGATACATGATCCCCAGTAAGTGAGCTGTTGCTGCACAAGTCAGCCTACCTCATTACCCATGGTTTCTTCCATTCAGCCATGTGCTCCTGTTGTTAGTTACGCTTACCCTAATGATTCGTCACAGTTGGAAACTGAAGTGGGTAAGTGGGGATTCTCTCCATGTGCTATGCCTGTTACAATGAGAATGTATGTCTTCGTGCATTTTTTTTTTTTCCCCAGCAATTTAATTTATTGTCATTTGGGTGAAGATTTACAGAGCAAATTCACTTTCCATACAGCAGTTCACATATACTTTGTCTCATGTCATTGACCACAGTTTACCACAATGCAAC